TAAATAAAATAGCTAGTGATCTTGATGATGATAATGTGTGTATTAATAAAATTATAAAAAGTCAATATTTCTAAACATAATATCTTATAATATTAGTATGTAGGTACCTACCTATAATATGTAATGCTAATGTAAAATTTTATTTCTAAAATTTTTTTATCATGTTATGTTTATTTAATTATATCATATTTGTATTGTATTAGTATTTACTTTAAACGAATTGTAATATCGTTGAACTCCGTCTATACCAGATATGACTGATACGAGCTTATATAGATCAGTTGGTATTCGTATCAGCTATTATAATTTTTTTTTTTTTTATTGTAATAATTTAATTGTAATTGTTTTGGCTGAATAAATAAATAAATAAATAAATATTCAAAGTAAAATTTCAAAATTATACATAAATTATATTATATTACTATAATTGGAAATATGGAATTTATATCAGGTATACCTACCTAACTACTTAGTGCTACCTATTATATTATATATCTTTGAACAAATTGTTTTTTTTTGTAGATATTCAGATTTTGAGTGGAGAAATATATGTAGTATCTATTATATAAGTAGATATTACCTTAACAATGATGTGTGTTTAAGATATTAAAAAAAAAGCAATTTATAAAGTCGCTCTGCTGTACAATAGGTTACAAGTGGGTCACTGACCACTGTTTTATATATATGGTATTAAATTTGAGTTCAATGATATAATATCATTGCAAATCATATTTGTATAAGAAAAACGATTCTGAGCGGAGACGGTATGTCAGTCTAGGTATAAGACATATTAATATATTATATACCTACTTATCTATGGTATTAAAAAAAAATTAAGCTATATAATAGGTAACTATAGTCTATAATAAATTCCAAATTAATCATATCACAATATCCATTAGACACTTAAAACGCGTTATACATCAACAACAAACGCTGCAGATACTATCATAGTTATATAATAGTATACTTTAGAAGTTTCAAGTACCCACGAATAATATTATACAATCACAACAAGTTAACTAAAATAGTTATTCTAGGTTTTTTTATTATGTAATTTCGTCCAAATTTGAACTAAAAATGACTAAAAAAATAAACTGTGCTTATGTATTTTTTAGACAAACTTATGAATAATCTTGAATTACAATTTCAAATCTTAGATTAAAAAAGAAACATTTTTATAAATTTCTAACTCAAAGTAATTTGAAAAATGTTCGTCATTTTTACGTATTTTGTCAATATTTGAACTGTAAATCCTTATGAAAAAAAATTGTGACTACCTATGGATTTTTAATTTTTTTCATCTGCCTTTAAAAAAATATGCTAGGAGCTTTCTATTAATTTTTTTTAACCAATCTTTTTAACCATTAAATAAAATTGTATTGATTTTTATAGATAAAAAAACTATAAAAATGGAAAATGAAAATAGCCGTAATAAGAGCTCAAAATAAGTCAAAATATTTTTAAAATGTTATGGCGTATAGAAAATGTTAATATAAACATTCAGTCAAAATTTCATGTAAATACATTCGTTTGTTTAAGAGTTGCACCAAAAACCAAAATCGATTTTCTCGAAAACAGATTTTGCGTAAAAATTCCAGATTTTCCTTAATTTTTCTTTTGTTTTTCACTGCGCTTTTGAAAACCACTGGGAAATGGGAATTTTTTACTTTTGACCCTTCAAAGTACCAACTAGATTCATTTCCTGCTGAAAAGATACTGTTGAAGAAAATCCAAGCATTTTTACTGTACTAACAGGTGATTACAGACAAAAAAATAAAAAAGAAAAAAAAAAAAAAAAAAAAAACACCATTGTAAAACCACTAGCTTCTGAAAATGAAAATAGCCGTAAAGAGCTCAAAATAAGTCAAAATATTTTTTAAAATGTTATGGTGTATATAAAATGATAATATACACATTCAGTCAAAATTTCATGTAAATACTTTCGTTTGTTTAAGAGTTGCACCAAAAACCAAAATCGATTTTCACGAAAACAAATTTTGTGTAAAAATTCCAGATTTTCCTTAATTTTTCTTTTGTTTTTCACTGCGCATTTGAAAACCACTGGGAAAATTTTACTTTTGACCCTCCAAAGTACCAACTAGATTCACTTCCTACTGAAAAGATACTGTTGAACATTGAAGAAAATCCAAACATTTTTACTGTCCTAAAAGGTGATGACAGACACAAAAATAAAAAAGGTGCTCTGCTGTACAGTAGGTTACAAGTGGGTCACTGTATAATGGATGGTATTAAATTTGAATTCAATGATATAATATCATTGTATAAGATAAACGATTCTGAGCGGAGACGGTATGTCCTTCTAGGTTTAAGACATATTATTTACATATCTATGGTATTAAAAAAAAATTGACCTATTCTAGGTACTTATACCTCCAATGAATTCCAAATTAATCATATCACAATATCTATTAGACACTTATAACGCGTTATACATCAACAACAAACCCTAAAACTATTATAGATATAGAATAGTGTACTTTAGAAGTTTCAAGTACCCCTCGAATATATTATACAATCACAACAAAATAACTAAAAAAGTTATTCTAGGTTTTTTTTATGTAATTTCGTCCAAATTTGAACTTAAAATGACTATAAAAATTAACTGTGCTTATGTATTTTTTAGATTTTTTGGTAACAGAATTAACTGCTTCATGGAATCTTGTTTTAAATTTTCAATCCTTGGATATAAAAGTTGAACATTTTATTAATTTTTAACTACAAAATAATTATTCAATTTTAAATTTGATAAATTTTGTCAAAATTCGATCTTTAAATGCTTATAAAAAAAAATTGCGCCTATATATTTTTAATATTTTTCAACTGATATTGTAACAATATATCAGGAGCCTTGTATTCAATTTTTACACTTTTTGGCCCAACAGAAAAAACTTAATTGATATTTATAGAAAAAAAAAGCTAAAAAAATTGAAAACTAAAAATTTCCGTAAACAGCTAAAAAAGAGTCAAAATATTTTCAAAATTGTAAGGTGTATAGGAAATGCTAATATAAAAATGCAGTGAAATGTTCATGTATCTACAGTTATTCGTTTTTGAATTACAACAAAATAAGGAAATAGCTATATGAGAAATCGAGTGGATATCCAATGTTGTAAAAATTTGAATTTCCAACGCTCATAAAAGTTTAATTTGACTTTCTTATAGACATTTTTTTTTGATAAAGGTTATATAAATCTTATAAGGAATCTTGTATTACATTTTAAAATCTTAGAATTAAAAAAGAAAATTTTTACGAATTCTTAACTCAAAATAATTTGCTAATTTTCGTGATTTTTCCATATTTTGTCAACTTTTGAACTTTAAATGCTTATAAAATAAAACTGTGTCTAATGATTTTTAATATTTTTCAAATATCATTGTAACAATATAGTAGGAGCCTGGTATTAAATTTTCAAGTATTTTTACTCGACAAATAAAGTTTTATTGACATTCATAGAAAAAATAACTAATAAAATGAAAACGTCCCTAAACGTTTCCCTTTTGAAAATTTTATCATGTATAGAAAATTCAAATATAATCGACCAATGAAAGTTTCATGTATATACGTTTATTTGTTTAAGAGTTACTCCAAAACCAAAATCGATTTTGTGGAAAACTGATTTTGCTTAAAAATTCTCGATTTTTCTTAATTTTTCATTTGTTTTTTACGGTGCTTAAGATAATGACTGGGAATTTTAAAGTTTGACCTAGATAGGTACATATTATAAAGATTTTACCTACTTATTTTTTTGTAATTTTTTATTATTAAATATTAATTCAACCTAGTGGCTACCGTATGTCCGTATTAATAATAATAAATAATAATAATAATATAATTATACAATGATATTATAATATTACACCATTGAATCCAAATTTAATACCATCCATTTGATACTGTACAGCAGAGGTGTCTGGGGACATCCACTTCCCCGCTTTTTTTTTTTAATGTATGATAGATAAAAATGCTAATTTAAACATTCAATGCGTCATGTGAAAATGTCATGTACCCAGTGGCGTATCCAGGGGGGGGGGTTAGGGGGTTGTAACCCCCCCCCCCCCCCGAAAATTGTTAAATTATAACAACGTTATCATTAATAAATCATTTTAAGATAAAATTCCACAAAAATAAATTATAACCCCTCCCGAAAAAAAATTCTGGATACGCTACTGCATGTACCTACCTATATCGGGCTAGGTGCAATCATTGTCTTATTCTGTGGTGCAATTACTTTTGTTAACCAAAAATCAAAATTGAATTTGTTGAAAATTAGCTTAGCTTAAAAATCTTAGTTTTCCTTAATTTTTATTTTCGACCATCCTCCCCCACCAACCAAATAAAAAAAAACTGTCGACTAAATTCACTTTCCACCACAAAAAGATAAAAAGAAGATGAAGTAGAAAATCAAAGCATTATTTTTACTCCCCCAAAAGGCTTGATGACAGACAAAAAAAAATTTTAAATTTAAAAAAAATTACACTATTCTAAAATCAATATATTTATCACTCATCTCAGAATCTAAAACAATATTTTGTCAAAAACTTTTTATGCATGCAAATGTATGTTTTCCTTAATTTTGTTTCAGTTTTTCTCTAGTACTGGGAATTTTTTATTTTTAGCCCATCTAAAGATATGAAGTAGGCATTCAATAATCAATACACCAGTGTATATTAAGTGCACATTGCCACACTGTACCTACCAGTGGCGTATATAGAAATAATTTTCGGGTTGGGCTATAGTAGACAGAAACTAGCAAGTGATCTATTACTTATGAGGCTACTGTCTACTACATATTTAACAGTTTCTATAAATATATACTTATTTGTTATTTTTCAACAGGCCAGGCTTTATTGTAAGGATTTTTTCCAACTGTACAAATAAAATATATATTACAGTAATAAGTGGGGGATTCTACACTAAATACATTATTTAAATTATATAAAAAAACTTTACACGAAAAATCGTCAAACTGATTTTATTATGAATTATTGAGTAAACAATTGGTTATTAAACATAATAATAATAATATTTTTAAACATTTATGGATGAAAATTATTTTTTTGAATTGTCTGTTTTTGGAATGCTTTTCCGCTTTATTATTTTCAATATCTTGTAAAACCCTTTTTAGACCTTGAGTTTGAGATGCTTCTGCGAACACTCCTTTGAACCAACTTTGTTCGCGTGCTTTAGGAGTATCTTTCACTCGGAGACATGTTTCATTAGTCCACGATAAAACCGCATTTCTTGGGTCCCATAAGGATAAAGGTGGCATGTTGAAATGAACAAATAAATATTCATTCTCCGATAATTATTAATAATCGATAATAATTTTGGCAAAGTAATTTTTGTTGTATTTCTCAAGTGCACATATTCGCTAAGCCAACTGCACATTTTATATTTCCTAATGCACAATTAGTGTCCTACTGCACCTTACAATAAAGCTTGCAACAGGCTATGAAATATTATAACTTATATAATAGTATCTACTAACTAATAAAATATATTATTTTTATATTTAAAAAGACTGTTATTTCGGTGGTGAGGGGGGAGGGGGTGCAGCCCACTGTGTCCACCCCCTATATAGGCCACTGCACTGTACGTCTGTACAGTAATAAACTAATACACCTAACAGATATTTAAATTGTATTCATGAACCTACTGCAGTTATTAGATAATAATATGTAATACACTAATACACTAATTACTAATATTATATTACTATGTAATGAATAATGGTGTACAATGATATTATCATGTGAATGTCGTTATTTTATCGTTTCCGAGTGAATCAGAGAAATAATGATAATAATATTATAATAATAGTTTTACACTTAAACATAGGTAATACTTTATTTATCACTATAGGTTTTAGCTCGTTTATCATTATGAAAAGTACCGTTGTGGTCGTCACTCGACCGACATCACAACACCGCTTCAATATCTCATTTATAATATTATTATACCATAGTCTATTGCTATTATTATTATTATTAATCTATCGGAGTGCCGCGAAATTTCGTCGTCGGGTCACGGACGGTTAACGCGTCGGCGGGTCGCGGCCCGCGGGCATAGGCAACTATAATACTGGTCGCGGGTGATACTGTAGTTGTGTAGTGATCTGTCAGTCCGAGGAAGCGGGCTGCGGGGGAGCGGTCACTGGTCAGGACGACGGGCTGCGCAGCGATGATGCGTGCTCGCAAACTACAGGTTTTAAATATTCTCCTCGTCGGCCGCCGCCGTCTCCGTCGTGCAAATGTGCGATACACTCGATAAGCGGTGTGTGCCGCTGTACAGCAGTCTTGGGAGTTGTGACGTAAGTACGCGCTGCGCCGCTACTCTCTCACTCACTCTGTCACCACCGTCGCACCGCCGCGCGACCGTCGACCGGTCACTGCACACTACGCCGCCGCCGTCGCCGACGCCACCGCCGCCGCCGACACTTCTCGCCGACGTACGCCGTTCGTTGCACGTGGTTCGCACACGACGCGGTTACCGGCTTATTAATATTTCTCGTCTCAATCCCCTTCGTTGACCAAACCATCCGCAACACATCATGTCTGCAACGAATGTCGTAGACGGCCTTTCGGCCCAAGAGCTGTTCAGCACCGGCGAAGGCCTCACTTACAAGTACGTAGTAACTACTTAACATTATATCGATGGCGTAGCGCACAAGTGTGATAAGTGACATTTTCGTAATTGTTCAGGAGAACGATTTTTAAGTTTGAGATGTCATAACAAATTCAAAAATGTAACGAACTGTACGACGTCTATCGGAGTAAATAATGAACTATTCACTTACAACGTTTGGGCATAATGTGCAGAATTGTATGATTAAATTGATTATGCACTTAACTCATTTTTCAAAAAAATGTCACTTATCACACTTGTGCGCTACGCCATCGATATTATTGTTATACTTCCCTGGCAGACAAACGCGTACTTGCCTTGCCATTGGGGTGGCGAGGCGGTAGTGTGGTGGAGTGGTCAGTTATTTTCCTTAACTCCCGTGAACACTAGGTATATAATATATATGTGATGGCCAGATCTATGTTATACGTATGTTGTATGTAATAATATAATGTTGGTTCTATAAGACTTCAATATTATAAGAATTTTGAAGCTAGGACGCCCCTCGAAAAACTCAAATCCTGAGCCCTCATACAATCTCCTTATGACGTTCCATTGTTTTAGTGCTTGTCAAACACTGGCCGTTTAGAATTCCACTGTTATTCATATTTTGCCTCGTATTTTGCATGCATCACCCCAGCACTATCTTGATGTGGATTAAGTGCCTAAAATAATAATTTCACCAGTTTTTATTATAAAGTTTCCCTATGTCTATTTCCGGGAAATTACAAAGGATATGTTCGATTATAATTTTCTACAAAATGGTGTAGGTAGATAGATGGATATTGAAGTATACCTGTAATAATGCTAAAATTATTTACTGGGAGAAATAATGAAGAGTCATCTGAATTACTTGAACTTGTTAAAATTGTTAATAGGTATATACCCGAGATATACCCATAGTCACTTATAGTAATATAGTCTCTTTAAATAAAATGCATAGATATTAATGTATATCAAACAAGTTGTAAAAACCCCAAGATTTAGGTATACAATTGAATACTACATATCATTTTAATTAGGTAGGTACCTATATGTAAAACTATAAATTAAATTCTTGATAAACAATATCTCCAAAAAGTACAATAGGACCTACTTACCTAATATTTATTTTTTCACAATATAATTTATCATTTGTTTTAACTTAATATAATATTCTTGATGAGGTGGGTAAAACACTATTATGAGTAGGTACTTGTAACATTTATTTTGATCTACATTATAAGCACTGTGTAAGTTGTTGGTATTATGGGTACCTATTGACTTATATCACTTGACTGAAAGTTAAGTATCTACTTTCATTACTCTATCAATAAAACAAAACAATTATATTTAGTGTTCAATAAAAAGTAATAAATGTTGATAAGACTTGTTGAATAATTTTTAAAAAAATTGCTTGTTGTAACACCACTGATCAAAATTGTATTACTTTCATACTACTTACCAATATATTCCTACCTATCGACGGAAATGTATATTATGAAATTCATTGATGTATTGGGGTAATATTAGTTCCATAGTTATTTGCTCAACAGTGAAGTTATAAATATATTTACTAATATTTACAATTCTACCTACTGAAAAAATAATTTAAATAGATAATAGATTCTTAATGGGTTCTAAAGTGAAATCTCAAATCCTACAGTATAAAAATCAAGGAAGGTGTTTTCCCTGTGTTAATTATTTATTGGTTTTAAAATAACAGCTCAGTAGACAGTAATTCTTTACTACTTTATGTAACATAGGTAATTGAAACTTGATACAACTATGTTGTTGTAGGTCATCTCTTTAATCTACTTAGGCATGACAAATGAATACCTACACAATACGTTTAAAAGATAGATATGTACATAGATACTTTAAAAATAAACACTTTTACTACCTAGTAAGATATGTTTTAATAATTAATTAATTCTGCATTGAAAATAATGATGCAATTCATTCCATCCAAACTTAAATCCTAAACCTATTTTAAATCTATTAAAAATGGGAAAGCATTATTATGATAATATCATTGGTAAAATAATTAAATATAGGTATTATGATGATAAATGGAACACCAATTATTAAACGAAATATACCCAATTGTACTCCGCCTATTTTATTTCCCTAATTATTTATTTTAACGACACCATTTAATTTAATGTATATACATTGTTGTTGCTGTCTGATATTAGAAAGTTTGTTATATAAATTAGGTAACAGTACCCACAGACTAAGATGAGAAGACTGAAAACAAACAAATTTTTAGCGGGCCAACGTGCCTCTGCTGATTTCTGTACATACCAGACATTACTGCTATTTAATGGCTGTATGGATAGATAGGTTAATTTTCAATAATAATAAAAATGATATTATCATAGATAATTAATGTATTAAATAGTTGATATTTTACCAAGTAGGTAGCGTACATGTTCGCTAAGTACTAATCTAGGAATGGAAGGGTAGAAGGTACCTAGGCAATTGCGGTCTGGCTCCCCGTCATCCACTCACCATATTGTTTCCAGTTGTATCTATCTTAGTCCGTTACTGTGCCTAATTAATTCATTAAAATATTTTAGCATTTGATTGAATAGAAAACTATGTTATCATTTTTTTTAATATTTACTCATAAGTACATAACGAGTTATAAATTATAATTAACGGTATGTAAATGTAATATTATAATTTAAGTGTTATCTACATAGTATAACACTTAAATTATACCTTTATGTGTACGTCAACCTAAACAACAGACTAAAAATTAAAATGACTATTGGTTATTATATAAATTGTGAAAGAATAACAATGGAATTATTTAACTGTGTTTAACCAATAGCTAATTGTGTACAGTTGTAGGTACAATTACATAGTCAATATGATTATATCTCAATCAGATATTTTTTTAATGTTTTGATTGTTCTATGTTTCAGTGACTTCATATTACTGCCTGGATTTATTGATTTTGTAGCTGGAGATGTTGTAAGTATTTATTTACTTGCTACCACATTATAAAATAATTACCTAACACAGTAGCCTACTAACATGTTACATTGGTAACTATCTGATATGAGTTAATTATAAATATATGATATTATAAGAAGCCACATAATTTGTATTTTAAAGTGGATAAGGGTTGAACACATCATAACCAGGGCATGAGAGTTAACGAGTAATAGGCCATTTTTTTTTTTTTTTTTAATAATGTAGATTTGTATGTGCAGCTCTCCGATAGATCATTTACACGACCTTATTAAAATCATTAAAATATGACAAGTAAAATTGTTTTTCATGTGGGTAGGTACTTATTTAAAAATGTTTATCCTGAACATGTGTTTACATTTAAAATGTGTATACCTAATGAAAAAATACTGTTTAAAGAACTTTGACTGATTTTTAAGATATTCTAAATCTAATATTGGAAATCAATATGACAACAGGAATTTAGATCTAAATATTATATGTTTTTTAAGAAAAAATAAAAAATATCTTCTAAAACTTCCATGCCAGATTTAGATTTCATAAATTATTTCTAAATATTTAATGAATCAATATGAACTATGATATGATCCATTATGCATGGTTTGGTAGTCCATTATTGGTCTAATAAATTCAAGTAAACAATTAAATTATGTAGTTTTTATGCAACTCCAAATTAGTAAACTAAATCGTATTAAAACTTTAAGTCATCAATATTTAAATAGCAGAATAAAAAAAAAAAAATTATAAATTATACATTGATTTTAAAAACTATTATCTATTTAGGTAAAATTTTTCTGATAATCTTTTAAAATGTTCATAATATTTATGAATTTGAATAAAATAAAACAGTTATTAGTTGATACTTTAATAGGTATGCATATGTTACATTTTCTGGTATTCGTTTCGTATATGACCTTCCTTTCTTTATCTAAATGATGTACTGACAATATAACCGTCAGAATAAATTTTTAAATTTTTTTATGTAATTAAGAAAATGTGTACTGCGTATAATATTTTTTAAAACAAAATAACTATATGAAATTGTTTGAATTATTTCAACATATTGCTGTATAGGTATGTTGTTGTATTCAATTTTTTTTTTTTGAACTGAGTTTTACATTATTAGATATTATTTTATATTTTTGGTACTAAATAATTATTAATAATAAAATAACATAATCTTATAATTTTTACTTTGACCATAAATACTAAATGAATAATGTAGTTCACATATTACACTAATACCCAATTTCTAAATTAATTAATTTTATGATCGTTTTTAAATATATATTTTTTTCTTATGAACAATGTTTGATGAAGAATTAATAATATGCACAACACATTGTTAATTGTCAACATAGCTAAACTATTAAGTTAAAATATAAAAATAGTGAATTAATGTAACTTAGTGTATCAATCTAATTATTTACACTAGAGATGAATCTAAATATTATTGGTATTTTTAGGACTTGTCTTCACCACTTACCAAAAATATTACTCTTCAAGCACCATTAGTATCATCACCAATGGATACTGTCACTGAATCAGAAATGGCTACAGCAATGGCAGTAAGTACAATTTAATTCCATTGTAAATAATAATATTTTGATAATGCAACTAATGAGTGTTGTTATTTTATTTATAATTTATTAATTTATTGTGAATTAATCAAAATAACAAATAATACTGTCTTATTTCTGTTACAATTAAATATATTTTCTTACTTATACTAAAAATTACCAATTTAATTGTTTTGAACTTTAGACTTAAATATATTTATATATGTATTTGTCTCTTATACTTACATAATAATATTCTATACGTTATGCAACTTAATTTTGTTATTTTTAATATACCTAACCTATTTATTGCAAAAAAGTATCAATATAGATAACATGCAGTATTTTAAATTAATTAAGATAGGGACGGAAATATTGATAACTGTATATCATTTAAAAAACCTACTTTGATCTGATAACTAGGTACAGGACAATTAAAGTTTCTTGTGTAATAAAAACATCACACATGCATGAAGGCAATTAACTGATACAACTATAAATTTCTTATAAAAATTACCCATGTAATAAACAAATAATCAGGTTTATGTATTTTTTTATAGCTTTGTGGCGGCATTGGTATTATTCATCATAATTGCTTACCCGCCTATCAAGCAAGTGAAGTTCTGAAAGTAAAAAAATACAAACATGGATTTATTCGGGACCCTGTAGTTATATCTCAAGATTTATTGGTAAATATATTTCATTAAATTGCAAATTTCATATAAAAAAAAAAAAAAGTAAAGAGTTTTATTTGTCGATTATAGGTATCTGATGTTTTTCGATTAAAAGAAGAACATGGATTTTGTGGTTTTCCTGTTACTGAAAATGGCAAATTGGGTGGCAAATTAGTTGGTATTGTTACATCTAGGGATATTGATTTTCTCGAAGGATCTGAACAATTACAACAATCAGTCAACTTGGTAATTATTTAAATTTATGTTTTGAAATGCTTCTATGCTTCTAAAAACTACCTACTAAGATAGTCCACAATTTAAAATTAAAAAATATATATATATTTTTTTTTCATATTCAGGTAATGACAAGAATAGAAAATATAATTTCAGCGAAATCTGGAGTTACTTTAGAACAAGCCAATAGCCTTTTAGAAAACTCAAAAAAAGGAAAGTTACCCATTTTAAATGAAAATGGTGAATTAGTAGCATTAATTGCCAGAACAGATTTGAAAAAATCACGTAATTATCCAAAAGCATCAAAAGATGAAAATAAACAACTTTTAGTCGGTGCCGCTATAGGAACACGCGAGGATGACAAAGATAGACTTCATTTATTACATCAAGCTGGAGCTGACGTTATAGTTTTGGTAAGAATAACTCATTTAAATTTCTCTATTGCTGTCGATCAAAATATTTTATCCTCTGTACTATTTATTAGGATTCATCACAAGGAAACTCAGTGTATCAAATTGACATGATTAAATACATTAAAAAAAATCTCCCGTCATTACAAGTTATTGCAGGAAACGGTACTACATTATGCGTGTAAATCTTATTGTTAATTTATCATTTAACTAAAAATAATTATTTTTAGTTGTTACTATGGCGCAAGCAAAAGCTCTCATAGATGCTGGAGCTGATGGCCTAAGAGTTGGTATGGGTTGTGGTTCTATTTGTACAACACAAGAAGTAATGGCAGTTGGTCGTGCCCAAGGAACTGCTGTTTATAGAGTTGCTCAATATGCTTCACAGTTTGGTGTGCCTGTTATAGGTGATGGTGGAATTCAATCCATAGGTCATATAATTAAATCTCTTGCACTGGGAGCATCTACTGGTAATTATACCTAAGCTACTATTATAGTTTCAAAGGATAATAATAAGAATGCAAAATAATTGCAACAAAAAACTTGTATTGTAATAATTTGGCATTACTAGAATAAACTTCCAGATGTCTGACTGAATAAATGTTTATAATTCATTTACAATACAAAAAATACTGTTTTATATAAATTACAGTAAATAAAATTTGCATATAAATATAATTTCATTTAAAATGTTTAGTTAAGCTTAGCTTGAGAATGAAAGTACCCATAATGTTATATTAATTTTATTATTTTTTTTTATAGTGATGATGGGATCCATGTTAGCTGGGACATCTGAATCACCTGGTGAATATTTCTTTTCAGACGGTGTGAGGCTAAAGAAATATCGTGGTATGGGAAGTTTGGAAGCAATGAACAGAAAAGATGCAAAAGGATCAGCATTAAACCGATATTTCCATAGGTATGATAAAATAATATTTTTTTCGTCACACGGCTTGCATTTAATTTAACTGAATTTTTATTCACAGCGAGAAAGATTCCTTGAAAGTGGCTCAAGGTGTCAGTGGAACAATAGTGGATAAAGGTTCCGCTCTCAGATTTTTACCATACATTCAGTGTGGCTTAAGACACAGTTGTCAAGATATTGGTACTAAATCGCTTAAAAACCTCAGAGTTATGATGTTATCAGGTCAACTTAGGTTTGAAAGACGTACACATTCAGCACAACTTGAAGGAAATGTACACAGTCTATTTTCGTATGAAAAACGATTGTTTTAATATGAAAATGTGATATTTGTTACTTTTCAATTTATTTTATACTTAAGTAAATATAAAACTATATCAAATGTTTACTTAACCTATCATATTGTTTTACAATGAAATAAAAATAATAAAATCTTCTCATTACATTGTGTTTGAGTACTTTAAAGTTAAACTATTAACTGTGTCACAATACATTTGTAATTGTTGTTGTATAGTGGCAAGCTGGTTACATTCATCTCTGCTATAATGATATTTACTTTTCCATTGTTGTACCATTTTTGATAATTTTTCAATTTCATCACTGAAAAAAAAAATAACCAATATATTTCATTGATTATTTTTATCATAACATAACTCAACATAAATATATTATTTACTTAATATTGTACTTAAGAAACCGTAATCCTAATAACACATGGTGTTTTAATTTATAGTTTAAATTTAGCAACAAGTGATGCTTGAATGCAGTTTACTAACCAATGAATAGATGTGATACACATGTAAAAAAAAATTTTATCCCTCAAAAGTCAAAAATGCATAAAATATTCAATTTTAATAGCCAAGGTTCTTTAAAAGTATATCCCTCTGCATAATATCAAAAATATATAGGTAAAAAAAATGTAGGACATTTTAAATTCTAACTGACAAAATTGATGAAAAATAATATTAGTTATTTGGATTTTAAGACAACATAAATATTAAAAAAAAAAAAAACAATTATAAAATGTATTAGGTTTTCACCTATCACCTAATTTGTGTTAAAATGTATAACCATATACTTTGGTAAAGTGTTAACTGTTTGGGCTTGCTTAGTTTTTTACATTTAAAATGACATGCCCACGTGATTGCATTCTAGTAATTTCAAGTAATTTTAAATATAACATCTACAAAGTGTCATTTTATCAAACTCTTTTTGATTTGTACCGTAAGACGATTGTAATCAATATTAATGACAACACAAAATATAATAAAAGTTAAAAAGGTGGGCAAGTGGGTGTCGCTCTGCTGTACAGTAGGTTACAAGTGGGTCATTGTATAATGGATGGTATTAAATTTGAATTCAATGATATAATATCATTGTATAAGAAAAACGATTCTGAGCGGAGACGGTATGTCCTTCTAGGTATAAGACATATTATATACATATCTATGGTATTAAAAAAAATTGACCTATAATGAATTCCAAATTAATCATATCACAATATCCATTAGGTACTTATAACGCGTTATACACCAACAACAAACCCTGATACTATCATAGATATATATAGTAGATTACTTTAGAAATTTCAAGTACCCACAAATAATATTATACAATCACAACAAAATAACTAAAATCGTAATTCTTGGTTTAAATATGAAATTTTGTCTAAACTTGAAATTAAAATGTCTGTAAAAAATAAGTGTGTTTATATATTTTTTAGATTTTTTGGTTACAGTATGAATTATTTAAGAGAATCTTTGTTTTAAATTTTCAACTCTTAGTTATAAAAACTGAACATTTTATAATTTTTTAATTCCAACGATTGATTATTTTCGAGATTTTGATAAATTTTGTCAAAATTCCAACTTTAAATGCTTATAAAAAAAAATCGTGCCTATGTATTTTTAAAATTGTTCAACTAATATTGTAACAATATATAAGAAAGCTTGTATAAAATTTTCAGACTTTTTGGCCCACCAAATAAAATTTTATTGACAATTATAAAAAAAAAAACTAAAAAAATTGAAAACTAAAAATGTCCGTAAACAGCTCAAAAAGAGTCAAAATATTTTCAAAATTGTATGGTGTATAGGTAATGCTAATATAAACATTCAGTGAAATTTCCATATATCTATAGTTATTCGTTTATGAATTACAACAAAATAAGGAAATCGCTACATGAGAAATCGAGTGAACATCCAATGTTGTAAAAATTTGAATTTCAAACGCTCATAAAAATTTAATTTGACTGTCCGGTAGAGATTTTTTTATTGATAAAGGTAGACAAACTTATGAGTAATCTTGTATTACATTTTCAAATCTTAGATTTAAAAAGAAAAATTTTTGCGAATTCTTAACTCAAAATAATTTGCTAATTTTCGTGATTTTTCCATATTTTGTCAATTTTTGAACTTTAAATGCTTATAAAAAAAACTGTGACTAACGATTTTTAATATTTTTCATCTGCCTTTGAAATAATATACTAGGAGTCTTCTATTAAATTGTCAAGTTTTTTTAACCAACAAATAAAATTTTATTGATATTTCTAGAAAAAAAACTAAAAAAAAATGAAAAATGAAAATGTCCCTAAACAGTTCAAAATAAATCAAAATATTTTGAAAATGTTATCGTGTATAGAAAATGCAAATATAAACAACCAGTGAAAATTTCATGTATATACGTTCATTTGTTTTAGAGTTACACCAATAACCAAAATCGATTTTTTGGAAAACCAATTTTGCGTAAAAATTCCCGTTTTTCCTTAATTTTTATGTTGTTTTTCCCGGCGCTTGTGAAAACTACTGGGAAATTTATACTTTTGACCCCCTAAAGTACCAACTAGATTCACTTTCCAATCAGAAAAGCTACTGATGAAGAAAATCCAAGCACTTTTACTGTCCTAAAACGTGATGACAGACACAAAAATATAAAAATATAAAAAAAAAAAAACACATCATTGTAAAACCAATACATTCATCGCTCCGCTCAGAATCTAAAATAATGTTTATCCATCGGCATAGAAATTAAATGACACACATTTTTGTAAGAATTATTTTTTATCTTTATTCAAAAAAATAAAAATTAATTTGCCTTCAAATCCAAACCCTAGGTATTTTGTTGTAAATGGAAAATATTAACCACAGGGACTTGAAATATTTTGTGATATAAATTAGTTTATATTTACAATGGAAATTTAAAAATATTTTGACTAATTTTAAGATTAACTATACAAGAAACCATTCTATGTTACGTTAATATTGGCTTATAATTTAGCTAATAATTATTATTATATAATATCGCCGTCCCGGTAGAACAATGACGCAACTGCAATAATTGCAATTTTACAGGAAACCCAAAAAACTAAATTATTTTCACTAAATTATTAAAATGTTAATTATTTATGAGTGTACAACTGATAATTCCACAACGACGCAATTGCCCTCTGGCGGTCTAAAATACAACTACAGTTCCGTCGTTTTTATACATTATGTGTACGCTATATTTAAACTCATTGTAGCATTTAGGCCATTTATACCAAATTTTGCAGTTGCGTCATTGTTCTACCGGAACGGCGATATGAGGTTTTTGGCAAAGATTAGTTCCACCTTAAGTCCGTATAATAGTAATACCTAATAATAAATTATGATATAATATCCTTAGAAAATTAGAGGGTGACCAGTTTCCACTGAATAATTTTTGTATGCTATGATTAATCGTAATGTTTAATTAATGACCGAATTATACATAGTTAAAACGCTGTAAAGGAATACCTCAAAATAGAGGTGTCATTTGAAGGCAAATCATGGGGTGGCAAGCATCTTGAATTAATTCAATTGTATGTGGTCTAATGATGTATGGGAGCATATGATAGATAAACAATATAATTGGTGGGATAACAATAAAGCTACCTCGTTATGATGCCAGTGCCTTAAAATGTGTTTTGGTAAATTACCATAGAACGTTAGAAAAAATGGAAAAACAACATTAAGGTATTTTCCAGTCTATATGCTAATACACTCTACATTTCTATCAGTGATTGAATGACCATGGTTCATGTTTTTTATACTAGGAAAAATTCTGTTTGTTCACAAAAAGATATATAATATTATAGAATATATTAGGTTACAATTGAAAAAGAGGAGTATTATGATTGTAAAGTGGATAAAAATGTCAGACATTTGAAAGTTTGAAGAGATGAAAACCTAATCTAATATATATTTTTTGAAAAGTTGAAAGTTGGTAAAAATTATTAAATGTACCGAGCGGCATTGAACATAAAATATGCATCTTTTACTCATCATTTTTTTCCAAAAATTAAATTTATTAATTACAATTTGAAAAAAAATTCAAGGTTGACTTCCGTTATCAGAAGTCAAGATGCCTTAATACGATTCAATTTTCTAATAAACATTAGTAAATAGAGATTAAATAAAAAGGCTCACCTGTTAGTATAAATGCTGGAATAACGTTTATATCCATCAAATTTTACAAATTCGCTTTCAGTGGGTGTGTAGTTTTGACGTATTTTTGGTTCTTCGGTGCCTTTGTGATTCAAGTCCCATTTCTAAACATATAGTAAGTACATTAAAATGAACAATTAATAATTTAAATAATTTATGTCGGTTTTCTTGTACTCACAGTTCCAAATGTAATGTCATCAAAAGTTTTTTCGAGAGTATTGATACAATATAACACTAATTCGCATTTTAAGTTTGCCATAGAACAACCTGTTCTCATCAGGCACCACAACACATCACACATCATGATGTAGTGTTCAATAGAATCTTGTATAAATGTTATACGGTCATTAATTGTTTCCAATTCTGATAGTTTATGTGTCGCGTCTGCTATCACTGTTTCCGATATATGAGATTGTATATTGTCATATTCAGTAGATTGTGAATGTTGATTAATTTCCATGAGTATTTCTCGATCTTTTATGTGCTTGTCAATGTAACTAAAATAAAAGTTTATCATTAAAACTATAATCTCACAAAAAAACTATGTAACAATCCCTACATGACAAATTAGATAGGTATCACCGCGGTATTTTGAAACACATCCTATGCTCTTTTCTTTGCCTTTATTATAGTTCTCCACTACTTATTGGCTGTCAATCATAAACATAAATATATAACATATAACAAAATCAACCAATGATAAGTGGAGAACTACGATATTAGGAGGTGATGCGTATCTAAAACGTATGTAAAACTAGTACAACTGTGATGATAACTACATAATTTATTTGTCATGACCTAGTATATAAGGGATAATATTTTTTTTTTACTATCAATAGTATTACATTACTAATAATTACGTTATAATATCTTGATTGTTTGAATGTAGATTCTCCTCATCCTCGTTAAAATAATTTTTAATATTGAATACATTATTCACTGCTAAATTTAATTTTGATATCTCACTTTTTTTTTTCATTCCAGCCATCCGTAAGGCTATACAACTGCACATAATAATATAAACTTTGATTAATTATATAACCTAGATATATTCTAAATAAATAAAAATTAACCTTTGTGAGAGTTGACTTAGAGTATGGATTTTTGTAGAAAATGTATCATTTATTACTGATGAAATATTTTCCTGCAAATTATAAAGTTATTTATATTAAGTGGATGTCAGCTCAGTATTTATATTCTCTTTGACCCCCGTGCAATGTAGCGTATTTTACGTTCACAATGATTATATTCATATTAAATTCTCAAATTGGAGTGGAATTATCTCTTATAAAATTTAAGTCAGAGAGAAAACAAATAGGGCGCTAACATCCTTTAAAGACATAAAATAAAAAAATAGTAGTAATAATATAAAAAATTTTACTCTACCTCTTTAAACCATACGTCAATCATTTTAAAAATCTGTTGGCGCCATAAATCAGTCAAATTAATTAAGTTATTTGATGCCAGTTTTGTTAAACATTCGTTATCCTAAACATTTAATTTAAAATTTCATTATTTTTTCTTATAACACATTGGCAGTATATAATATTAACAATTAGAATTATTTTAAGCAACATTTACATTTGTCATACTGTTGGTGACATGATAATGAAGTTTATTAACATTAGTACCAAGTGTATCAACTTCTTCTGTAAATTTTTTTACAACTGCATCCAAATTATTTTCAGTTTTGAAACAAGATAAGCTGATAATATTCTCTTTTTGTTTGAGCAATGCAATTTCATCATCCATCAAATGTATCTTTTTTCTAAAAATTAAAATGTATTATTAAAAAGTTCTTTAAACCAAATTAGATGTAAAACAAAGAGTTATAATACATTAAAAATCACAATAGAGCCATTTAGACAATTGGTTTTGATGATGCACTTGGATCATGGTACCAAGTTAGCATAATACTGTATATGTTTAAGTATATATTATCCTGCAGTTTTAGAGAGCAGGTTTTCGAGAACATTTTTACCATAAGCAGTTTTTAACAAAATCAATTTTTTATTTTTTTGTAATACACAAACATACAACCTTAGATAGGTACTTAAAATATTCACCAACAATTTATATTAGCTTTTCTTAACCTTCTAGAGTAAATAATACAGCAGTTCTGTAACTCTTTATTAATTTAATTATATAAGTTTTAAACTAAAATAACAAAATTATAAATTTAAATTTAAAAAAAAACTGTGAAGACATATTGCAATAGGTACATTTGTTATTTTATTACTGCGTCTAATTTAAATAAATTAAAGTTTAAAAAAGTGTCAACACAATTATATAATATATCGGGGCTATTGTACAAAATATTTCAACTTTTTGAGCAAATATTAAAAACATTTAAAATTTTTGGTTTTTTATGTTTTTAAATTTTTAAATTAAAATAAAAACACACACCATTGTGAAACCAATACATTCATTGCTCCACTCAGAATCCAAAATAACATTAAATAACTACAAGATTTTCTAAATAAAATATAATAAACAATAAGTAAAAAAAATCACTCTGCTGTACAGCAGGTTACAAGTGGGTCACTGTATAATGGATGGTATTAAATTTGAATCCAATGGTATAATATCATTGTATAAGAAAAACGATTCTGAGCGGAGACGGTATGTCAGTCTAGGTATAAGACATATTATAATATACTTATCTATGGTATTACAAAAACTTTGCCTATAATAAATTCCAAATTAATCATATCACAAAATCCGGTAGGTACTTATAATGCGTTATACATCAACAGCAAGTCCTGATACTATCATAGATATAGAATAGTGTACTTTAGAAGTTTAGTCTAGGTTCTTTTATTTTGTAATTTCGTCCAAATTTGAACTTAAAATTACTATAAAAATAAACTATGCTTATTTATTTTTTAGATTTTTTGGTAACAGAATTAACTAAGCACGTGGAATATTTTATAAATTTTGAACTTCAAAATAATTACTTATTCAATTTTAAATTTGATACATTTAGTCAAAATTCGATCTTTAGCAAATAAAAAAAAATTGTGGCCATGTATTTTTAATAATTTTCAACTGCTATTGTAACAATATATCAGCAGCCTTGCAATTGAAAAAAAATTAAAAAGATTGAAATATGAAACTGTCCGTAAACAGCTCAAAACAAGTCAAAATATTTTGAAAATTGTATCAAGTATAAGAATTGTAAAATAAACATTCAGTGAAATTCTCATGTTTCTACAGTTATTCATTTTTGAATTACAACAAAATAAGAAAATAGCAACATGAAACAAAAAAAAAAAAAAATCAAACGCTCATAAAAATGTAATTTGACTTTCCGGTAGAGATTTTTTTTTTTTTGACGAAGGTAGATAATCTTATAAGGAATCTTGTATTACATTTTAAAATCTTAGATTTAAAAAGATAAAATTTTACGAATTCTTAACTCAAAATAATTTTCTAATTTTTGTGATTTTTCCATATTTTGTCAATTTTTGAAGTTTAAATGCTAAAATGCTAATAAAAAAAAAACTGTGATTAAGGATTTTAAATATTTTTCCAATGTCATTGTAACAATATAGTAAGAGCCCTATATTAAATTTTCAAGTATTTTTACTTAACAAATAAAGTTTTATTTACATTCATAGCAAAAAAAATTAATAAAATTGGAGACTGAAAATGTCCCAAAACAGTTCAAAACAAATCAAAATATTTTGAAAATATTATAATGTATAAAAAAAGGAAATATAAACAACTAGTGAAAATTTCATGTATCTACAGTCATTTGTTACTCCAAAAACCAAAATCGATTTTGTGGAAAACTGATTTTGAGTAAAAATTCCCGTTTTTCCTTAATTTTTCTTTTGTTTTTAACGGTGCTTTTGAAAATTACTGTGAATTTTTAATTTTGACCTTCTCAATGCACCAACAATATTCAATTTCCCATCAAACAAGATGTTAAAAATCAAAGCATTATTTCGACTACTTATCGGGTACAGACGAAAAAAAAATCATTCTAAAATCAATACATTCATCGTTCCACTCAGAATTTAAAAATGTTTAGATATTCCCAACATATTGTCTTCAAAAGAAATGAAAATTTTATATTCAAATATATTTTTTTAAAATATAGGGGAAAATGTACTACTAGACTGAAATTATACAGGGGGTATTCAATTACCTTCTCAAGTCTTAGAATAAAAGGAAATGAACACATGGTTGTATTTTGCCACATTTGGGCACCACATTCTGAAAGCACAATGTTCTAATTACGTAGTAATTCTACACATTTAGTGCGTACAGCTCTAGCATGCTAGAAATACAACTGATCATCTAAATAATTTATTAGATAATTATTGTCCTATTTTACTTACTCGTATAATGTTCCATGTGCTTTTAAATCATTTAATTCTTGTTCAGATTTTAAAATTTTTCTTTCTAATGTTTCCAGATCAGAAGAGCATACTATTCCGTCTTTAGTAGTTTCATCATAAAATTGATCAATGGCTTTTGATACTTTTTCTAGAGAAGAAAAATGATCATGCTTTGAAGATATTGTAGTGTAACTAAAAAATAAACACGGTCAATTCAATAATAAGCAGAATTTGGTCATTTTCTAAAGCATTAGCTTATTTTGTTAAGGTTAACTTAAAATCTAGCAGTGTGCTATAAATGTAGATGTCTAGTTAGGTACTACTAAAACTTTTATTATTTCAGTATTTAAAAAAAAAAAATTACTTCTTACTAGATTTCTGCTTTTTTATGTATATATTTTCTAGTTTTTTCTACTTTAAAATTGTTCAGGCAATAAAATAAGACTAAACTAAGTGGTTATTGTAGTGTTGGAAAAATATACACATCACAAGAATAATTAAACCTAGAGTTGCATAATATAAGTATTAAGTGAAAAAAAAAAGATATTTTTTTTTGTGTTTAGGTGGGAAGGTTTACAATTTTTTAGGTTGCTTTTTTGCATATTTTTGATTAAAATGCAGTGCCTTTAAATCCTTAGCTATAAAAACTGAACATTTTATAATTTATTAATTACAATGGTTGATAATTTTCGAGATTTTGATAAATTTTGTCAAAATTCGAACTTTAAATGCTTATAATGAAAATTTGTAACTATATATTTTTAATATTTTTCAATTGCTTTTGTAACGATTTATCAGGAGCATTGTATTAAATGTCTACACTTTTTGGCCTAACAGATAAAACTTCACTCAAGTGATTCACTTGAAGTTCATACTTTGTAATTAATTATTAGGAAACTTTGATAACTATAATACTATAATACTATAATACTATATAGAAATATGTCTACATAATGAAATTAATAATTAGAGTATACTTACAGCGCCAATTCCTTAGGTGTCAAACAATTTGATTTTAGTGTGACACTATTGATAAAAATCGTGAAAATAGGTAATAACTCGGGAAGCTGTTCTTCGTTTGCGAATAACTCTCTGGGTAAGTGCCCAACATGGTAATTAGTGGACTTGAGTATTTCAAAAAAGCGTCGAGAGATTTCCATTGTTTCTCCAGCATAAAAAGTAAATCAGTTCCAGAGAAACAGTTGAAATAAACAAAACAACAAATTAATCAGTTGTGTTTTATTCGAAATTCGAATTCACGATTTAAGATAGTAAGGTTGCCCGACGAATCGTGATAACAGATAAAGACGTGTCTACCGCATAATAGTATGTGGTCCACCGAAATCACTACGAAAAACACTTGGGAAATTAACTACTAGCGCTTGTATGTAATAGTGGTTTGCGCCAATAAGCCCGTCTTCTATAATGGCACACATCATGTCGCAAACGCTAGTGGTGAAAATTCCAGCTGTTCTGGTTATTTAATTTGGTTGCCAGTTTATCTTATCATAGGCAGTCGGGCTATAATCACAGAACAATAAATATTATTATTTGCGTAATCAGAATTCTGTCTAGTGTCTACTGCCTACCTTATCGACGCTTACGCTTTACGGATTACACGTTTTAGATTTGGAGTGAAGCAAGAAATGTATAAATTTTACATTGCTGTGTTAGTTTTTCGTTAGTTTACACAAGCCTACTCAAAAAGTAGCAACAAATTGTAACACGATCCTAGAGACTTTAAATTGTCACAAATGAATTATCCCAATACACCTAATTGACATACAACTATAGTTTTCAAAAAATACTTAGCGTTAGTATGAAAATTTCTATTCAATTACTATTTATTTCAAGTGTTATAAGGCCGAGTATATTGACTTTTCTGAATAATCTGATTACTGTTTAAATGAATGTTATATATTTGACACTTGATACATGATATTATAGTATATTATTTTATTATAATGTATTATAAATACCTATGATAAATATGAATTAATAATTGAAAATTTAACTCAGTACTTTTATATTTCTAACCAAACTTACACGCTATGGAGCTTTTAAAAAAACTTTTTTAATATTTTATTTTAAACTATTAATTTTTGGAAAATTCATTCTGATCTCTTCTGCCACCCAGGCCATGTGCCAAACAAGTTATATGCAACATTTTTGAGTAAAGTACATGTATAGACTTTCTTGCTTTCACCATATATGGTGCTGCATCCGAAACACAAAAAGTAAAACGTTATGAAGTATGCCTTCAGGCCAAAATATAAAAAGAGATGTCAAATAATTTAGATATAGTAGAGTGGTTGACTTTTTCTAACACCTCTGAGTTGAACAGAAATATTTTCCCAGGGTTGTCTACTTTTAATGTACCAATTATAACAATTAGTTACATATCGTCCCTCAACATCAGTAATCTCATCTATTGACACCCATACATTTGTGTTCCTTATTTGTAATCTATAATTGTAATAAATAGTTTTTGAATAGCATTATTAATTGATATAGTTTTTTTCGAAGCTTAGATTTGTCAGGAATAATTTCAGAACATGCAATATCATTATTCATTATCTTAATTACATCGATAAATATATCCATAAATCAAACATAACGAGATGGAATCGATTAAGCCAACCATTATCTTGGAACACATTATTTAATATAAGAATAAATATTAACATTTCCAATATGTTCACTTAGAACACATTTTGAAAAGATGTAACATAAAAGAAAAAATGTACCCAAAATAGCATTGATATACAAAAATTGCAAAAAATAGCCAAATAAAATGTCATGTATTTTATTATAAGTAGTATAAATCGAATTTGTAGCTGATATATCTTCGTTTTAAAGCAATAGAAAAAAAGCAAATGCTTTAAAAGCCCATTTAAGTCAATTTCATTCATTCAAAATTCAACCAATTTTAAAATTGTTTTTACTCCATATTATAAATAACATCTCTACAAAAACAATAAGTAACTATTTTTTAATTTTTAAAATGTTTTTTCAAAGATACTAAAAAAGATTTTAAGCTTTTGTACTCGGTTAAAGGGAGGCTATTAGTCACATATTACATTAAGGGGATTTGATACCGTGATTTTCTGTTTTTAGTATTTTAGACGTGTTTTTTCCAAACATTCCAATTGATCTATTTAAGTGATAAGAATTTATTCTGAAAACAAATTTGAATTTGTCGTCAAGTCTACTTGAAATCGACTTTCCTACATGTTTGATATTATCCCCCATTCCTAAAAATGTCATATTTATGTTTTTATAAGTTAACTTGTGATAAAAGATTAATCAAATTATAAATTACCAAAAACGGATGCAAGTTGAAATGTTTTAGTTAAAATTAAACTAAATAAAATATTCACCTTAATACTCATAAATTATAATATAGCAATATTATGTTTCATAAGCGTTTGTACTGGGTATGTAAAGTATACCTAGTTCCATACTTTGCAGACTGGGGGTAGAACCCTTTTATAAGAACCAAAATAACAACTTTTAGAAAAAAAAATAACAAAATATGAAGGTACAATTGATGTACCTTGGCTGAATTTCCTGACAAAGATAAAGAAATTATATCCTTTTCAATAAACATATGTTTATAAAAATGTTTTATTATTTGAATATATTTTTGGTTTTCAACTATTAAATTAACGCATAGCATAATTGGAAAACAAAATATAATAATTTGTGTTGCTCGGCTACAAAGTTACCATATCTTAAATGAACATTTTTCAAGCATTTTGAAACAAAAGTTATAATTTATAATGAACTGCTCAAAGACTAAGAGTTGAAATATATAAATATCGCTAACAAATGTTGTGTTTATTTTCTAGAATCATAGATTATTTATGGTAGTAAATATTTATAATCAATGCATTTTATGTAAAATGAACAAATAATCATAACTAATTGAGAAAATTATTGAAAAGCATGGTTGAGGTATATTTTATATATTTATATATTTAATGTGATTAACACATAATTGGTACATGTGTTTTATTAAATTAATATTTAATAAAAGAATCTCTTTGAGTTCTGAGAAAACATGTATTTTACGGTACAAACTTCTTATATGAATACATTTTATCTGCACATTAAAATAATTTATGTGGTGTAATAACTACAATTAGAAACATAAAATGTATACTATAGGATATAGAACATATCAATAAGAAATAATTGTTTTATTATTTTTAATCTAAATATCTGCCATTCGTTCTTTATGTAACAGTCTTTGGTGGATTGAACATAATTTCCAAATTTTTGATTTCATCTGTAACAATTAAAAGTACAAATTAATAACACTGTTTATTTCAAGCTAAAGTTTGGTGGGTGGGTAGTATTATACATTTTAAAGAGGTTATTTCAGTAGAAGTTAATATATTGCAATGGTTGTCTATAAGTATAATATAATTGTACCACTCATTGAATCGCCCATGGAAAAAACCTTAGGTGTTAACTGTGAATTTTAATAATATGTACCTATTAATTTAGAAGGAATTTATTTGATATGTCAGTTATTGAATGATATCTGTCACTATAATGTTACCCTTCAGAGAGCTAGCAACGCCGGCCATGCTTGACCTCAGAACCCATTAGAGACTTTGGCCAATCACTGTGCCACACCAGGCCCCACACAATATTTAGTTAGATTTAAAAGTACTATTTTTTTTGTAGGTACATTATAAATTTGAATTTTTGTATTATTATAACCAATTGTGTTTGTTAATATTAATTAATAATCACCTTCTGCATATTTCTTCTTTTCTGCAGCAAGCTTGGCTTCTCTTTCAGCAATCTTTTGATGACGAGTTTCCTTTGTTTTATCTTCTTTCTTTTGGAGATAACTATGTCTGGTAGCTCCATAGGTCACCCCTAACAACAGGAAGCTCCATCTGCCAAACTGAATAACAATAGAATAATAATATAATTTTTAGTTATTAAAACACATATATTGATGACAAAACTCAAACGCTATAGTTAAATAATAATTATTATTATTATGGTATTTATATGCATAAGATGTACCTCTACTATTGTGGACAACATTATAGTATATTTAATACTAATATTTACTTTATGTAAAGATAAAAGTATTTCTATATTGTGTTCCAAATTAAAATATTACATACATCAAAGTGTTTCTCAACTTAAATAGTTAGACATACAAGGGTTTTAGAGAGATAATAACCATAAAAAAAATACGCACCAAATATAATATGACGTAATAGTATGTGCCACAATAGTACACCGTTTTACTAAACTACGATTAATTTTCTTATATTATTTTTTATTTATATAAATAATTTAAATAAATATCAGTAAAATGTTTTTATAATGTACAGTTAAAATGTCCAAACAAAAAATCTAGATAGGTACTCTTAGGTACCTATGTTAATAAATAATTATATAATTTAATTAAATATAATAAACTATTTTTGTATAACATAATTATTAATTTTTTTATAATTGATAAAGATAATGTCTTAATCAGCTATTGATCTGATTAGTAGAATTTGGACCTATTATATATTATATTTTGTGTTTGGACACCCAAGGTTGTATTTTTATATGTATATATATATATATATATATATATATATTTGTTCTCGTATTTGTTATAGTTAGGTACCTACTTGTGGCGAGACTAAAATTAGTCATTTTAGCCCTTAATTACAAGTATTAGTAATAAAATTGTTTAAAATTAAGCAGGTTTGATCTATTTTATACTAAATAGTTTTTAATAACTTGCTTTTAAAATGGGTGCTATCGGTAATTTATAATCAACTTTGAATTACAAAATAAGTTACATAAAAATAAATTGCTTAAGATCTTAGGCTTAAAAATATTTATACATCCATAACCGATAAATTCAGATGAAAGCTTAATTCCAGAACTGAAGTTTAGGTAACAGCTAAAGCATGCAAACAGGGTCTAGGGGACTAGGTTAGACTATTCAATACTATTTGAACTTTTCCTAAAACTATTTCATCCAATATCATAAATTTGTTAAGAAACTTTACCAACAAATAATTCTTATTCAATCAACAAATTTAATGTTCACCAATCTTCCAAAAAAAAAAAATATTTGCCAATGATAAATACCTATCATTAGTAAGATAATGTTTATAACATTTTATTCAAAAATTTAAGAAATAATATTAATGACCTTCACATGACATTTAAAGTATTGTTAATATAAAAACAAATAATATTTTAAATACCTTACTCAAATACCTACTTACATAACAATTAAATCTTGAAACTGAATGAAGTAATTTATATTTAGATATTATTAATGATTTTCATTAAATATATTAACTATGACCCATAATCAGTAGTATCATAGCATGAGCTTATATGACCCCTACAAGGCTACAACATATATTATTAGAAATAGATGATTTTCATAATATGAATACAATTCCAAAAATACATTTAACGAAGAAGATGATACCTAATCGCATAAATTTGCATTTACTATCTAGAAATCAGTATCAAGAACTTTTTATAGCAAAACAAAATTTTGGTCAGGAAAAACAAACGTCGTGAACATCATTATGGGAATTTTTTTTCAGCTCATTTAACATGAAGAAATGTCACTGTTGATCAATCATAATGGAGCATACATAATTTCACCCAGACAATTACATCGCCGAAATTGATATTAAGAAACGCGTTTCCGGGCCAAATCATCAAACGAGAAACCGTACCTATACGGAGATTTTAATCTCCGCAGTCTAACGCACACGGGTGTTTACATCTTATTACGAGTAGATGATTTGTGGTACTTAGAAACAGATCGGGTGTTTCTCAACATACACCTAGAGTAAATTCAATGATTGAAATGGCCAAACATCATATTTTCGGCGCAAATGGCTTGAGTAAATAAATAACACTTACCCTGATGAGCGGGGACACATTGACGGGTGCTTTGAAGTCTCTCGGCATTTTGATGATTCTTGGGACGATTTAAGCGTTCGAAAGTCAACGACACCTTTTCACAGTGTTAAAGAAAATAGCCAAGTCTCGCACCTTCAGAAAAATGGGTGTAAGTCTGCTGCCTGGCTATGAAAGAATTACAAATTAATACCCTGGAATCTGATAGTGGGGAACAGATTTTCATCCGGGCGTACCAACCCGACGGTCACATGTTATCGTACAATACTATTGCTCTAATGCACACGGGTAAAGGCAGCGGCCATTTTCTTTCCATAGCTTATAAATGATAATAGCTAGTCATGTATTTATTAAATTTGTTTTGTGAAATTGAATTTTGGTAATTAATGAATAAAGGTAGGGAAATATATATTTGAACGATTATTAACGATTTTTCATAGACGTACTTGTTTCGATAAATATTTGTATAATTTGCATTAATTCCAATTGGAAAGAAAATGGCGGCTGTCTTTACTTGTTCTTGAAACCCTACTGTAGAACGGAAAACGCCGGCTATAGTGAAACCGTGGCGTAAAAAATGAAGCACCGCTCCGTTTCCCCCCAGCCGGCCGGCCCGATCCCGTCGATTTCTTATAGCACGACAAATCACGTACCTTCGCAGCGGCGGCGGCGGTCGATTTTAAAACGTCGAGGCCGCGTTATCACCTCCTTTCTTATCATTTCACCGACTTTTGAAATTAAATAATAGCGGGTTTTACACGATTTCCATAGGCGCCGGCAGGAATTTTGTCAAGGGGGTGCATCGTGCATAGTATACGCCGATTTTTAAATAATGTATAAATAATTTTAGTTAAATACGTAGAAATATTTTTTCAAATTAAATGACGATACAAAGTTATTTTTTTTTTATTCGTCAGAAGTAATGTCAAAGTAATGCGGGATATTGGCTGCGATTAGAAAATCCGATAATGATCGACAACTCGTAAGCTTATCGCATGCGATAAAAATGACCGATTTATATATTGAATATACAGACATACAGTGTATATTATACACGTGACAACTGATATGTCCTATACATCCATCGACACTATACGATAAAATCGGAATCATTATTAGTCGACAGTCGTGTGTCCGTGTGTGTATATCTCAACGTGCTTATTATTTTAGTTCTTACGTAAAATTATTAATATATAAAAATGAGTGACATACGAAATTTTTTGCAAAAGAAACGCAAGATAGAATTAAGTCCATCAAGTATAAATGAAGGCAATCATGACATAGGTAATTTAAGTAATTTAAGTACTAATAGTTCTAATAGTAGCCAACAAAAAGAAGTGCCACAACTCCAATCAAGTATAAATGAAGGCAATCATGACATAGGTAATTTAAGTAATTTAAGTACTAATAGTTCTAATAGTAGCCAACAAAAAGAAGTGCCACAACTCCTTCATCAGTTTTTTCGGTCTTAGCTGACGAGACTGCCGATATAAGTGGCACCGAACAATTGTCAATAGGTGTTCGGTATTTGTTTTACGACGTTAAGTTTCAAAAACACAAAATTTGTGAAGAATTTCTTGGTTACTCGCCTCTTACAAAACTAGATTCTAAATCCATTGCCAAAACCATCATTGAATTTTTAGAAAGTTGTAATTTAGATTTGAATCGACTTGTGGGCCAAGGATATGATGGATGCGCTGATCGGAGCAACTCTTCCAACAACAACTTGCAGCATTGAACGTTCATTCAGTACTTTAAGACGAGTCAAGACATGGAACAGAGCCACTATGGGTGATAACCGATTGTCCGGATTGTGTATGATGAGTGTACATAGAAAAAGACTAGGAGAGGATACCAAATTCATTGAAAATTCAATTGAAGAATTTGGAAAAAAACCTAGGCGTTTGCAATTATTATTTAAAAAATAATTATTATATTACATACCTAATATAAATAATATATTATATAGACAATATTGTAAAATAAGTATAAATGTATAATAATAAATAATAGAAATAATGTAGATAATTATGCAAAATAAAATAGTTTTAATACCATTCAATTTCAAATAATATATTATATAGACAATATTGTAAAATAAGTATAAATGTATAATAATAAATAATAGAAATAATGTAGATAATTATGCAAAATAAAATAGTTTTAATACCATTCAATTTCAAATAATATATTATATAGACAATATTGTAAAATAAGTATAAATGTATAATAATAAATAATAGAAATAATGTAGATAATTATGCAAAATAAAATAGTTTTAATACCATTCAATTTTTTTAATTTAATTTTTTAATTTTTTTTTTTTTTTTTTGTCAAGCCAAGGGGGTGCAAATGCACCCCCTTGCACCCCCCTCACGGCGCCCATGACGATTTCGATCATTTTCGAGCCTTTTCGCCCTTTTTTATACTTGATTCGCGTAGCTCGCGATCTCTCGAAGCCGCAGGTGTGCGGTTTATATTCGTGCGCCGTCCGAAGCGGTCGCAATGTCGATCGAAAAATACGCTCCCGGCCGGACTTTTTTGCCGATTTTTTTCGTTTTCTCCCACCGTTTCATCTTTTCGCACGCCGTTCGTGCCCGAATCGTGTAGTTAACGTCTTTTTGAAGTCGTTTATATGCGTTTTTCCCTCGAAATCGGTTCGTTCACCTCGCAATCGTGTTTAGAAATTACGCCGGCGACCGACCGACCGTACGCGCATATATACATGTACCTGTATACGTGGTAGACGGAAAAAAAAACCAAGGAAAAAAAAACCAAGGAAAAAAAACCAAAAAAAAAAAACCAAAAAATAAAAAACCAAAGGAAAAAAAGACCACGGAAATAAAAACCAAAAGAAAAAAAAACTATGAAAATAAAAACCAAATTTTTATATTTTGCTATATTAATTCATATTTCATTAAACTTAAGTTTTAATTGTCTACTTAAAAATTTTGATCAATAATCCAACTGCCCAAGTGTTCTACCTGTTAAATATATATTAATAATAATAATTATAATAATAATAATTTCAAATAGGTTAAACTGTTTAAAAAATTTTACATTTTATAATTTTTAAATACGTTTTAAAAATTTGTCCAATACAATAATAAAAGTAATAATTTAAAATAAGTTTCACGTTTTAAAAATTGTCAATACAAACATAAGTCAGTCAAATACATTATAATACATAGTCAATACTAACAGTCTACAGTCAAATAAAGTAAAAATAATAAAATAATAAAAAAAGTCGTAAGTTATCGATATCTTATTGTATAGGAGATAGCAGCTAAAAAGTTTTCAATATCACGGATACCATTATCATAATCCTCGCATAATTTTTTTAATTGGATTTGTATTTTTTTGTCGTTTTTGTTGTGGTACTCCTAATTGAATTTGGGCTAGCTTTGTCTCATCAGCTGCCACTTCCAACCTTATTTTAGCTATAATAGTCCAAATTGTTGGATGTGTTTGTCCTACCAATTTACTAAATCTATTGTTCCATCCTTCCGTCGAATTGTTTGTGCGTATGATTACCTATATGCTTATACACATATTATAGCCATATTATATAGGTACAAAGATAAGATATATAAGATGTATGAGACATGAGTGTATGAAAGTATAAGTCTATAACATAGTTAAGCTCGTTTTTATATATAAAAATATAATAAATAATTAAATATATAAAAAGACTGTAATTTCGGGGGGCAGGCTGCAGCCCACTAGGCCTACCCCCAATATACGCCACTGACGATAGTGTTCAACAGATAGAACACCTGGGCAGTTGGATTATTGATCAAAATTTTTAATTAGAAAATTAAAACTTATGTTTAATGAAATATGAATTAATATAGCAAAATATAAAAATTTGGTTTTTATTTTCATGGTTTTTTTTTCTTTTGGTTTTTATTTCCGTGGTCTTTTTTTCCTTTGGTTTTTTATTTTTTGGTTTTTTTTTTTTGGTTTTTTTTTCCTTGGTTTTTTTTTCCGTGATTCGTATACGTGTATAAGAGTACGATTTTTGCCTATGATTTAAAAACTATTAACGGAAAACGCTTTTCACGCGCTCCGTCAAATATATATATGGGAGATGCTCGTATCACAATCGAATTATATGCGATTACATCGATGATCGTCGAATATATCTGTTTACGTCTCTCCTTAGACACACAGCTTAATGATGATTTGATGATTTGACCGTATTACATAACCCAAACTGGTGGCGAAGTAGGTAGGTATTAGGCAGGTTGTGGATATTTCCCGGGTTCGAATCCGTCATACACACAAGAGTGTTGACGCATAAAGTGCCTGCAGCAATAATAGACGAAATTGAATAATTGAAGAATAATTGCCGTCTTCCGTAATGAAATTGTTTATGTATAACCGGTAGGTAGGTATGAGAAAATGTCGTAAAGTATTTTTCACCCGCCTAAGTCCAACCCGGGAAAATGCTCAAACGGGGATTTTGAGATTTACGATGGAAATGTTTGTTCATAAATAGGTAGTTGCTATTAGTTATAGAAGAAATAAGTAGTAGAACAATGAAACAAATATTTTTTATTTGGGTACCTATTAATCGACATACGGGTTTTCACTTTTCTCTGACCAGGCGGCGAGCGAATCTCCTCGGTAATGGGTATACGGCAGTATATTTTTTCACCGGCTACCTACCTCCCAAAAATCCTTGGAAGGAGTCTTTTTCGACGTGGTTATATCTAAATCGGAGTATCGTAGATTATCGAAAGGAGCTGACCTAGGTTCGTGCCCCAAAATCAGCGATGGTTATAGTAGAGAGTCGCGGTATACATTTAGTTCGTGCCACATATTTTTAAAATTGTATTAACATTCAAACAAAATCTTAAATATTGTATAATCATATGAATTTTTTGATAGATACCAGCCTAAAGATAAAACAACATGAATTTCGTTCACAATCTACTTGATATAAGTGAGTGTTGTTTGTAAAATATGAAAGCGAACACGATTAATGAGCTCTCACACTGCAGGTAATATTGGAAAATATAGGTACTTACTTTGACAGTATAGCAGCA